CGCTTTCTTACCGAAGGGTTGCAGATGCTTCTAAATGCAGGGTGCGAGCAGGATTCGAATCCATGGGCTTGGTATTGGTTTTGGTCGGCCCAGATGGCCTTGGCAATGAGCTTGATATGCGAGCTCGTGGTTCATGACCAAGATACAACATGGCTATCATCGAGAAACCAAGTCACGGACAGAAACCCCTTACCATTGCGTCCGTCTAACGAGACGCGCATGAGTCACATGTGGTATTTGAGGGCACGAGGATGATATCGGTGCCTATTTGGAGCCAGATCTAGGCTCTGGGCGAGAAATGTCTCAATCTGCTCAGCCGAGGCAAGGGTTAACGGAGACCCAGGGACATGCCCAACGCATTTCCACGCTTACAGCGCGAGCGGGAATATCAAAACTCTTGTCAATGGCGACAAGAAGGGTCTTTTTAAAACTTGGATAGCCTACCCATTTCAATCTGGCAGTCGTTGCCCTGCCCACCTTTCATCCGTCACAAGCTGTCACTCTTTCGTCTGTGATGATGTGGTCAATTCAGCAAGGCCTTACTAGGCTGGCATTTTTGCCATTCGCCTTGGGCGAGCTGGGTTTCCAACTCTATCCGCTCGTTCCTAGCCAGCCGATGGCTGAGATGCTCGGTATCAGCGAAAACTGCGTCAAGGCTCTGTGAGTTCCCCCCCGCCCACCCCCTCATAAAATACCTACGTCGGCCCAGACGACACTAATACCGCCAGCAATACCACCTTGCCATGCGACAAGGACCTGTTCGGGTGGACCGTCAAAGTCGACGATGTCTACTGGACTGAACAGGATGCCAGCACCCTGTGTGTCTCAGACTGCGAGACCAACGTCCGAACATGGACAGAGACTGTGGCCTCCGCTTGCGCGGAAGATTGGCTCGTTGTCGGCGACCGTGCCGTGCCGGCTGAGACGCTCAGTCTCCGGTTTGCAGAGGGCCTGGAGATGGCCTGCCTGCGAGATACGAACAACAAATGGTGCCTGCCGGCGTCCTACAACTGGACCGGCTCGGACGTCGTCCAAGTCGACTGCGCAGCAAATCCGGCGGACCCGTGGTGCATTAACCCGGCCAACGTGTCCGCTGAGAATAGCCGCATCTCAACGTTATACGACGATGATTTGCTCTGTTCTGAGTGTTTCCTTAACATGCTCTATCGCCGCGTCACCTCAGAGTTCCTCCCAGACACCGACCACTCTGACTATCTCGTTGGCGAATTCCAGGACATCCAATCGGTCTGCCAGACGAGCGTCGGCCCCTTGGCCACGCGCGCCGTTCCGCTGTACCCCTACGCTTCGGAGCTCAACGAGACGACCCCGGAGCCCACGGACATTCCGTCCACGGGCGCTCCCATCGTCGGCGATGACGGCTTCCCGTGGGACCCTGAAGAAGACACCGAAGACCCCGGCATTGATGAAGAGATCCCCGACGGAGAAGAGGATCCAGACGAAGCCGAACCGGAGCCGGAGCCAGCTGAACCGGTGGTGCCGACAAACTGCACCGGGCGGGCCGTCGATGCTCGGTACGCCAGCCTGGACGGTATCGAGGCCTGCAATGAACTCGCCGAGGAGTACGGCGTCGCAACGGGCCAGCTCATGTTCGCAACGAATGCGGAAGATTGCTACTCATATGACTTTGTCTGCGTACCGGAAGCCTGCGAGCTACTACGCGTCAACGCCGGAGATACTTGGTTTGTACCATCATCTTGCATCTTAACAACAGATCTGTTTGACGAGTTGCTAACGTTTCCATCGCTGAAACAGTGATACCATCTCGAAAGCCATATCAAATGACACGGAGCCGATCAGCGTTGCACAGCTTATGACCTGGAATCCTAACCTGATGGGTGCCTGTGATCATTTGACTGAAAGCCAGTACCTATGCATCTCGTGAGTATTCCATACTTCTAGAACCCACGAGCTTGCAACCGTTTTGCGCTCGACTGCTGAAACTCTTCACCTTCCAGACGACCTGGCGGCACTTGGGTGAAGCCGCCTGACGACCAGATCCCCGACGACTCCAACGGGCCTGTCCGCGGTGGTCCGGGCAGCACCGAGCTTCTCCCCATTATCACAGACCCCTCCACCGTCCCGGCCGATCGCAAACAAGAGGGCATCCCAGCGAACTGCAACCGCTTCGTCAAGGCGGAGAACACCGCCGCTTCATGTTGGAAGATCGCCAACGACGCGCAGATCACGCAAACCAGGTTATGGGAACTCAACCCGGCCTTGGGCACCGACGGCGAGCACTGCGGAACCCAGATTTGGCTCGGGTATTACTACTGCGTCGGCGTCCCCGGCGACGGCACCACCGGCCCAACCACCACGCAGAGTCTCCCGGCAACGACCGCGTCCGCGACAGCCTCGTCCGTCCCAAAACCGACGCCGCAACACGAGGGAACAGACTCCAACTGCAACAGGTGGACGCAGGCCGCCGACGGTGCTGGGTGCTGGCAGCTCGCCACCGACGCGGGCATCGGCCTGGCGCTGTTCTACAGCTGGAACCCTGTGCTGGGCGCCGCTGGTGAGAATTGCGGTACCATGATCTGGCCTACGTACTACTACTGCGTCGGCGTGGCTACCGGCTCAGGAACGCCGACGACGACGGTGGCGCCGCCAGCGACCACCACCGCTCCGGCCAAGCCGTCGAACACGCAAGCAGGCATCCCGGACAATTGCAGCAAATTTGCCCAGGCTGGGGACGGCGCTTCTTGCTGGCAGCTGGCAACTGACAACGGCATCGAGATGTCGGTTCTGTTCGCGTTGAACCCTGTCCTTGGCCCAGCCGGAGAGAACTGCGGGTCGCAGATCTGGCCGACGTATTACTATTGTATTGCTGTTAGTTGATAAACTGGACACTGCACGGATTCAAGTGTGAGGATTCGCTGTAATGTGAATATCTATCTGCTTCTTTGTAACCTGAATTCTACCATGCGATTCTCTCCGTTGATGCGAAAATACGCCAGTGCGCGTTCTGTTTGAGCCGCAAACCTGATTTACGCGTCTGACCAGTCGTACTCGTCGTCCAAGATGGCTGCGCGAGCAGGTACGGCAGCCCTGAGAAAGTCATCTTTTCTGAAGGCGTCTGGCCAGCCGTATTCACGGTACAACTTCTTCATCGCCTGAGATTTATCAGTACCTACCCGATGCCTTTGGATGTCACACGCAGCAGGGTAGAGCTGTGTAGTCGCGATCGGGGCTCACCTTGGCATCCGGGTCATTCACCGCTCGAATAGCAGCCCCGAAGTTTCCCGCAGCGGGTGCTGGGACTAGCTTCAGACTTGAGATATCCTTGTGCATCTTCTCGAAGAAGGTCTGGAATGAAACCGCCTTTGCGCTGAGCCATGGCGCGTCTTCTTCGGCCTCGGCAGGGGCGTCATCATACAGGTAGTAATCGTCGCCCTGAGGATAGACACATCCTGCACTTCTCTTAGTATACTATACAGCAGAAAAGATATGTGGGAAGGATGAATGTTAAGAAGCCAAACCTCTTTCCGTATCGATGAGCCAAATCACTCCGATTGCAGCTTCGTCATATGTCAAGGATACCATATGCGGCGGCAATGGTTTGTCGAAAGGCGCCAACCCAAGCATGGCAAAAGGCCGTTCATGCCACTTTGGGTCTGGCTCCTTTTCCGGCTGCCACTTGTTTCTGAGGTAGGACAGTACCTTCGTTTCATAGTAGACCACCGCGTCGTCGCCCGCTTCGTCAGTACTGGGGGCTCCCGCTCGCGGATACGGAAGATGTCGTAAAAGGTCAATGACCTTGTCAGAGCGGCCCAGGGTCCGCAGCGCGTCGACGTTAAGCTCCTCATCGGTCCATCCCGTTTCGGGTGGCGCCTGAAGGGCTTCCGGGTGGAGATGGCCCATGTCCACGAGCAGGCGGTAGTGGCCCTTCACGAGTGAGACGACGGCATCTCGGTCGTAGCCGAAAGCTTGGGGAGGCTCTCGAGCAGGCGTCTTCTTCTTGCGACGAAACATTGTTGCGCAGATTGAAAAGAGGACGAGTGGGTAAATTTGCTGTTCTTGAAGTCTGAAAACAGGGAGGAGGCAGTTCTTAAGATAAGCTTACTCCAAGGCGGCAAGAAGGAAGCGGGGTTCATGCAGGATGGCCGCTAATAGTCCAAGCAACCCCTCCCCCCTGCATGCTTAGTCGACAAGGGGTGATCAGATAAACGAGGTTCACGATGGGACGATAGAGAACAGGAAACGAAAAGAAGAAAGACGAAAAAGAACAGACCCCACTTCCTAAGGCGGTTTTCTTTTCGACATCTCAGTGCATCCAAAGCGAGAAAAATAATTGTAGACGAACGCTCGCACACTTCTATTTGCCCGTATTTTCTTGCTCTCTCCACTAGAGCAACACCGTGCCAAACTCCCTGATATACTTCTTTCCACTAGCGCCTGTGACAGCCATATAAGTATCGATAACAGTGACCTGTCCCACAAGTCGATTTCCTACCTGGCTCACCCTGCTCTCTGTAGCATGAGGCTGGATTGGGCGCCAGAACATAGGCTCTCAGCAATCCTCAAATTCGAAGCCACCTGGCATCATTGTAGAACAAGCTGGAAAAGGCGGCCGAGAACGTCAATGCGCAAACTAAAAGCATTATCGTGAACAAAGAGAATTAGTTCCTTGATTTGACGACCGGCTGACGCCGGTGACGAGTGATGTTTGAAAGAGAGTAGAAAAGAGTTTGTTATGCATGTATGTGGAATTTCCAGAACAGCCTACGGCACGGCCGCTATAGGACGATATTTATTCAAACGACGTTTGTATCTTTGTACTCTTACTAATAAACTCCCAACGGTTGTCTGATATTCTTTGTTACATATGATTTATTTCAATGTGTTCGAGTCTCCTTCTTTCGGACGCCTATCGTCTTAGCCATTTAATCCAGAAACCGAGCTTTTTACGTGGTTGAACCCATAGAAAAAGACTTTCAAGCGTTTCTGGCAAGTCGGAAGACGGATTCCGCTTTTTGTAAGCATTAGCTCGTCTGATCATCATGTTCCCGGTAGCGCAAAAGGTTTGTCCAGGTCCAGTGGATGAAGAAGTTGAGCTCATCGATGAAGAGGTAGAACTTGTGGCGGATGGAGGACTTGGTATGGGCGGCGGACTCGTTGTGTTTGAAAAGCTTGAGAAGGGTACGGAACTCGAAATGGGCGAAGAAACCGTTGTGTTCGAGAAACTAGTAAAAGGCAAGGAAGTAGATGTGACTGAAGGACTTGCCACGGCTGACGAACTCGTCGTCGGGGAGGAAGTTGAAACAGGCAAAGAATCTATTGTGGGCGAGGAACTCAGTACAAGCGAGGAACTTGATTCTGGCGAGGATGTCGAGGCAGGCGAAGAACCCGTACTTGACGGAGAGCTTTCCGTGGGCGATGCGCTCAATCTGGAGGTCCCGGAAGGATTTGAGATTGGCGGAGGAGTCACTGTGACGGAGGAGCTTGATAGTGTGAAGGAGCTGGACACGGTCGATAGGCTCGATACAGGTGATGAAGGCGAGATTAGTGTTGTTTGACTTGCTGAGGAGAAATCGCTCATCATGGACGAAGAGCCGAGGATAGTACTGGATGGACTCATCGTAAGGAGTGAAGAGCTGTTGTTGAGGCTTGAAGTAGATGAAGTAATTGAAGGGGGGTTGGAAACAACTGCCGAAGACGGCGTTGATATTGCGGTTGAGGTGGGGTTTACGACACTCTCCGAGGTGGATACTGTTGACGCTCGAATAAGAGAGCTCGTTGTCGACGACGACGACGAAAGTAGAGATGGCGAAGGGGATGTTGGCAAGGAAGGCGGCGCCGACAAAGATGACAGCGAAGCACTGCGAAAGGGCGACGACGATGAAAGGCTTGAGGGCGGGCTCAGCGTCGCCATCGAACCTAATGTAGTGATTGAGACTGACGGCGGTGTGCTAGGTGATACGAAGCTGCCTGGAGGCACACTGGATGGGTCTATGGTTATCAAACCGACTGTTGGGCTGCTCGAGGATCCTACGAGGCTTGAGCTCGTGGCCGACAATCTCGAACTGCCCATATCCTGACTAGATGAGCTGGGGACAACAATCTGGCCGTTTTGACATTGTTCGACTAAGAGATTTCTGCAATTAGCACTTGGGTGATCGTCGAGAAATTCGGGGCTTTAATCAATCTCACCTGTGTATGCTACGAGAGAGACTGGGTCGCAGTTAGGTGGCCTCGAAGCAAAGGTTATATAAACCTGCGCAGTTCGATCCTGGCAGAAGCTTGCCTGATCAACGGGCAGGATCGTGTTTGAGAACTGAAGAACCCCTTCGGAAACACTGAATGTGGTTGTCACGGAGTCCACTGGCGGTGTTCCTCCCGCGTTGAGAAGTTTGTAGCTCTCGCCAGCATAGAACACAGGAACACCATCGATTGAGAGCTGTCCAAAGGCCAAGTCGTAGGGTTTTGCGTTGTTGCAATCTTGGCGATTTTCATTGGTATTCTCAACCACAAAGCCCCCCAGAACTCTCCTTCTCAGGCTCCGTTTCACAAGTGTTGGGCCTGGAACAACGAGAAATATCAAGGGTTGAACGGTCGCGGCCGACTCTGACGGTAAGGGAACAGAGTTGGAGCTGGTGGTACTGAATTGGGGTGGATTTGGCGAAGCTGGGACGTTGGATCTAGACGTGAATGGCGATGGGAGAAGTCCTGATGAGGAGCCGAGAGCAGAGGGCTGTTGAGATAGAGCTGGTCCTGTTGACGTTGCCCTGGATGTGTCGGTAAGCATTGTGGACGGTGGGAATGTCAAGGCGGTGAAGGATGATGAGGATGAGAGAAGGAAAGAAGACGGTTGCGTAGGTTGAGATGGTCCTGTCGAGAATGGTCTTGTCGATACGCCCGTCAGTATCGTGGATGGCGATGCTGAGAGCGAAGGGCCCAACGACGCCGACAGGGTCTCGGAGAGGCCATCTGAGAGATTGGTGGACGCTTCAATTCCCGTCCCAACCGATGATGTTGTGGTGCTGTTAGAGCAGACTGAACTCAAAACTGGCTCTAGATAAGTCGAGAAGTATGTAAAGCACACTGTCGATGGATCACCCTGATCCACCTGAGGTGCAATAGCACTTGCAATACTCTTTGGTATTACCAGGGAACTAACGAGCAGTTGAAGCTTCATTGCGAACAGACTGGAACCTCACAGCTCCAAAGTCAGTCAATTCATTGGGGCTGGATGGCGACGGTCCAGCAAGATACAAATACAACTGACCTGGGGATATGTGGGGAAAGTAAGGGAGTTTCATGTGTGAGATCTTCATAACAAGGGGACTGAGTGCAATGCTGTGATGTCTTAAATCGACTGGTTGATCAATACTTCGTATACTTTCATTGGTCGCCAACAAGGTTTGAATCTGCTAGAGGCGCAGGGAGCCCAAGACAGTCTCACGAAACGCCACGACAGGAAACGGACCCGAACGCCCCGCTAACCTCGGACGTGACTGTGGAATGGAAATAGGCACGGCGGAGAGTTCCCATCGGGCCGCGTGTGCTCATTCAATGGATGCAGTACTAACGTTTGATCTCAGACTGGGCTAGCTGATGACAAGTGGTTATTATTGCTCGGCCCCAGGCTGATTAAACATGTGCAAAAATAAATCGTTACAAATGTCGTGATCCAGTCATGAACCCGCCCTCATGCTTTCAGCCGTATCCCATCGAAGTCCATGAATCTCTTGCAGCGCCATCTAATAACAACCGGGGACTACATTTCAAGACTAGTGAACTTGCACATGACTTTCCTTGCATAAACCTGTCCCGTGGATCCTCAAAGAGAACCCTTCAGCATTATGAGGCGTTAAGGCACGCATTAGTTTTGTCCTCTATGAGCATCGTTGAACTGGTTACCTGGAATTTCCGCGAGGTCCCGCCACGGAGATGGCGCATGCTACAAGAGGCGATAAGCGCTCTCCCTAGAATGGCAGCACTGACATACACTAACACAGGCACTAGATGATACACCCAAAATTGCCCTGAAAGAGATATCGCATGCATCGGATTTACTATGTAAAGCTCAGTTATCTCGTCTGTGAGTACCTAGAGTACATCATCAACTGAATCAAATTAATCGAAAATCTGAACTCAGTTGTACCTTGGGAGGGCAACTTCTGGTCAGAAGCATCACGTGATACGTATCTCACTCTGATGGAATTTGTTCCGTGACACATTCATAGATTCACGTACTAACTATCATATCTACACAGCGGATGGATCCAGTGGAGGGATTTCAGCCAGTGCTTTGTTCATTCAGAACATCATATTATACATGCCGAAGAGCCGGGACGGAATGGTTTGATACATACCGCTTTCGCCTGCAGTGAATTCTGGCTAACGCACATTTCAGAAGGAAGTGTCATCAAACACAACGCCCCCGCAAAATGCATTTGTATGCGGCTCTGCGACTGGGAAGATGGTATAATAGATGTCTATGTGACAGCTCAGATGGCGGACAAGGGCTCTCCGTCTTTTTTAACGCCACGCAAGGCGAACAAGTGAGGCGGCTAGGCACCCTTTAGCGGCCTAACCCGGTGCTCGGTGACAGTTCGCGTCCCACCAGACTTAGCACAGCCAAAATACCATAAAGAACTGACTTCGCCATCGCACTCAGCTTCAGTCCTGACTACCTCAGCGTCAATCAACCTTACAAAGCGTTTCCACAGCACATACGACTCCTCCATTCACTGTCTGCAGTGGGGTTTCATACCACTTCTAAGGCATACCGTTGATAGGCCGGCGCCATGTCTTCCTCACAGCATCCTGCTGAGCTTCCACGCCGGCATACCCATAACTCACACCAATCTTCGTTGTTATCACGGCTTAGCCGAAAGAAACATAGAGCGGACACCATGTACAGCGGGAAGAGTACACAGTCTCACGATACTACTGTTTCTAGCTTGGTGCATGATCACTATTCATCCTACGAGATTACCTGGGATACTTTGAAGGCATTTTTACAAAGAAAATGGCCGGACCAGCAATTTCCAGACGATGGTGAAAAGTTAAACTTCATTGACCTGGCAAGGGGCTTTAGATTACTATTGCTGACTGTATTTTGCATTGCTAGAAGGGTGACCGATGGGTTTTCGAAGTCCCAGAAAGGCTCACGAAGGTATGTCCATGATACTCCAATCGCTTATCTATTCCATATCTATGAAAGAGTGACGCTGAGAAATTGCAGGAAGATCGAAACGAACTTGCCGCCTTGCGAGATGTTAATCAAAAATCAGCTCAACGGAAACCCTCATTTTCGGACTCGGAAGGTTGAAAAACTGATTGACAAGGGTCGGAGTCATCATACGGGTGGGCCTTGAGTTGTTAAATCCATTGATTGGCTTACCGCTCTCCAGTGATGGTGCCCTGGAACAAATGTTGGTGGCTTGCGATCGAAAAGAAAAGAACCTTGCATTATCTATGCGGCAGACAAGACCGACACCATGTGCGCCCACTGTATCTACACTTTCAACGCCAATGACGAGGTTTGGTTTTTCCTGTTCTTCTTTTTTGGGTAGACATAGAGGAATGGATGCCCAAAACGTAGCTGATCATAGGACAACGAGGTTGTAATGATGTGTCGAAACAAGGCAGCCTCTGGTTGCCTAAATCGGGCCGTGGGGAGATCAGGCTCTAGGACAGGAACCATGCAGGCTGTATGTATCCATGGATGCCAAAACTGCATGTGGCAATGGGATGATTGGGGATGCCCCACACCAGGTCTGCCTAGCCACGTCTAAAAGCGCCTGACTGGGGGGGATGCAGATGATGTGGTGTAGGACAATGTGATGGTCATGCGCCTTGTTGGGTAGGCAAAGTGCACTTTATGCGGCGTCCGCAGCTTACGGTACATATACGTGGAGGGTCCTACAGGGCATTCTAAGAAGTCCTAGACATTGGATTTGCGCAAATGCGAGCGACAATGATAAGCTAGCGACTCGGTGATGCACCCTCCCCTGGCCGTGAAGATAGCGTGACAAGTGCGTCTATGCGATTGCGCTATCAAGCTTAATGCCATCCATAACTACAACACTGGGGATCAATGAAGCATCGAAAAAACTCTGGATCTCATAGAATTCTTCGTCATTATCGTCCTCTTCAATTGACACTATGAATCCCCTACCGGCGGAGTTTCAAGCATCTTACGACGAAAGAGACAGATACCCGCAAAATCTTCTTCAAAGAAGCATCAGCACGTACCCAATTGCACTATCGAGATACCTAGAGAGACTGAATAAGGCCGCAGACGATCTCTGTGAAAGACACGTTGAGAAGGTGGACGTATGCTTCCGAGCCCTTAAGAATAATGATGGTGCTGGAGAAGGTTTGACATTGCCATCTCTCGACTGCTTGTCGGATGGGGCGTATAAACTGACAGAATTGGCAGACGCGTCGAAGCGAAATATCCACTCTCCAGCCACTCTTACAAAATGGCTAGGAGTCCGGTAAATCGGACGTGGATCGTCGAATCAGCTACTGGGCGTGGCTGAGAAAGATCCAAAGTGCCGGTTTATGTGCGCCACAAACCTGCATTTCATCTTCATATTTCTTCTAGGCAGGATTAATGATCAGACAGCTACATCTACGGACGCAATTCGCGCGTGCGTCTCAATATCACTCGGTCAATGTTGTCGGAAATTCTCACCTTTCTTCAGGTAATGCCGGACATCCTGGATTTCTTGCTTGTTTATGGACTCCAGAGTGAACCTCGCGATCTCAGTTTCAGCAGTCTTCGAGAGCAACGTTGTTTGAAGCAGTCCTATGGGAGATCTTGCATCAGCAGCCTTGGTCGCTCCGGAAGACAGTATCAAATATGCTACAACCTGAAAGGAGTGACGGCCAAATCCGAAGACCCCGAGAATCCAGGTTTTTCTATTCGCCCAGCTGCCTTTTACCACAAGTTCGACGTCGTAGGGGGAATTCTCTTTGGACTGTTGTCAAGGGAGGATTAGACGTACAGGAGCGACTCAAAGAGTTGACTGGGAACAACGCTCGGGCAGAAGACAAGTCGTTTGGTCATGCAATAGAATGCTTCCGATCAAGCCTTTCAGCTCATTTGATGTTTTGTCGTTGGTCCATAGAAGACTGGAGAGCATACATCAAGTGGCTTGAACAGGTTGTTGATACTGAGGTTAGTCATATTTCTGAGGCATTCGACTCAAAGGCTCGCAAGCTCATTGACACTTCTCAGACCAAGATGGCTCTGCTGGCGCCAACAACAGGCGGATATCACTACACGATCTACACAGCTGCGGACATCCAACGTTTTCTGACATGGCAGGAGAAGATCAGCGAGTCTATCACGGTGCTTGAGTCGAACATCGAGGTCATGAAGTCTCTCATGCGGTTTTATACAAAATTGGATGAGAATCAAGACTTCGACCTACGCTCATCTTGCACGGATGATATTGACGAGTTCTGCACACAGCTATACAACATGGTTAACGATTTCACACTTCAAATTAGTCGAGCCAAAGCACTAGTGAAGTTAACCGGAGACCGGGGCGAGCTGGTCAAACAACACCGGCTAGAGCGGCCAAATTACAACATGGAGAAAGAAGCAATCTTAGTAAAAATTGTCACTATCGTGACCTTGGTTTACCTGCCAGCAACATTTGTGTCGGTAAGCTGAAGGCAAATCTAAACATGCGTCCAATGCTGTTGCCTTACTGACGTCAGCCGCAGACCTTTTTCAGTACGGACATCATCAAGTATCAAGACTCAGATTCGCTAAAGGGCACT